ATTTGCAATTGCTTGGAAGTGTTAGTCATTCTATAAGGACAGTAAAATCATAAAGATGATACAGGGCATTTTTTTAACATACCCCTCTGGTGGATACATATGACCTATTAAGAATTGTACCGCCACATCTTTGGGCCAACTAGCTAGGATGTAATTAGCCCTGCAACACCAGTAGAAAACGGAATATGTTTATAATAATGTTTCAATCAATAATTGTTTAGAAATTTAAATACCGTTTCACATTTTCCGCTGCTGTACTCATATCCTCAACTCCAACTGTACCCACTATATTTTGATCTTCATACAAAGTTTCATCTAGTAGCGTGTTGTCACTAGAAGCCATGTCCGATGTAAATGACAACCACATTTGTAGCAATTTAAACTGAATTTTTTCCTCCTTGATATCATGTAACTCCGCTATCTCTTTTACTAACGTATTTATATCCAATTTACCTCCCTTCAGTATAATTTCGTGATGATACAAACGGTGTATCAATTCTGAAGGATATTCAACTAATTTTATCAAGTCATCATCGTTCAATCCATATGCGTGTAATAAATGTTGTGTTTTTATTACCGGATAATTTCGTTTAATTTTTTTTAATTGTTCCTGACATTTTGGATCCACAATTAATTTTTCATTTGTCATTACAAATTTATAACATTCATAGGATGCCTCAACTTGATCGGCTCCATCCGGGGCATAATTTGAAACAAAGTAGAGAATGAGGAATGCTTTAGACAAATTATGAACGTGCTTTACTAGGCGTAAAATCTGAAATTAAAAGAAAATATAAAGAACATGAATAAGGAGTTCCTCCTTGTTAAAAACCCTAGGCTAGGAGCAGAGAAAAGTGGACAACCTGTTTAATACAGTTGAACAGGGTTCAACATGTTTTATTCAGATTTTCATAACTACGGCTGTAAGTGGACTCTGTAATACTCTCCTCTTCCATTAAGAGCGTTTTAAGGACCACAAGGTATCATCCATAAGAAATGTTCAATATATGGGGAATTCAAGAAAGGACAGCACACGTCCAAATTCGCTACACGTGCAATTGTTGGTCAATTTCTTTCTCGCTTATAACTTAAATATATATAATTTGATTAACCGCGCTATATTTTTTACGTTTCTTTCTATATGCAAGTAAAAAGTTTGCAGCGTAAAATGCAACGGGTAGTCAAACTGTAAAAAGTCCTAAATACATTATAAAAAAATTATTTTAATTAGTATTTATGAGGGGGGAAATGGAGAAAAAATAGATTTTTCGCTTAGTCACTTTTAAGTGGCTGCACATAATAGTTTATAATGCTTAGAAAGAACTGAATTTCCTATTCATTATAATCTTAAATGAAAGGTAAAGAAAGAGCACCAAACCAACATTGTTTTTCAATAGAGTGTTCCGAGGTCAACTCTAAAATAAAAATCAATTTTGCGTACTTATACTAAAAGCAATCCCTGACATACATTGTACTGTCTTTTGCCATGCTTATAGAAACGATAGCCACGCATTTAGTGGCTACAAACCTTGGTTTTCTTTTTCTTTTATAGATATGTGCGAATATATATCGACTTATAAGTAGCTAAGGCAATATTACTGCATTTTGTATTTTTCCTTACTTACCGATTTTAAAAAAGCGTTATTAGTAGGTTGCAAATGCCAGATCTCAATTTCGCTTTTACTTTTATACTCTGCTATAGAATTTTTAACAGCTGACATGCAAAAGTAATCATTATTTTGAGATACATCGCGAGAGCCCTTAAGCGTGGTGTGCATTTGTATGAGCGGAAACCAACTCTCACAATTGTCTACATTCAATTCACTATCCAATGTATCCTTTGTAATTGAGAAAGAATAGAAAAAGTGAGTTTGAATTTGTTTACAATTGAGAAAGAATAGAAAAAGCGAGTTTGAATTTGTTCACCTTCAATGGATGTTCTACAATTGACATAAAGGGCAAACGATAGCGCGCTATCTTAG